ACTTCAAACTTATAACACCCATATGTTACGTAGGGGTTTAAAAAATAATCACAATACTTGAAGAATGCAAAGGTGAGTTTACAGGTCACAATTTTTATCAAAAAATCTTAAGAATAGTTATGACTTACCGGATAGTGGATATCAAAACTTCTGTGTATTCGAAATATCTATTTCGACTGACTTAGTTTTTGCTAAAATATTATACGAGGCGCTCTTTAAACTTTGAGGGTTATTTTAATAACCTCAGGAATTTTTCTTAATTTCTCTGTAAATTATAAGTACTGATTCTATTTTTTATTGTAAAAGGGAAAATCAATCATATTTTAATATAACAACTTATTAATATTTATTCTAGTACAATATAATCGCCTATATACCTAAGATTTTTCGCATTTTTGTACAATCTATCTAGCTATCGTCGAAACCATTTAAATAAAATACGTAATTTTATAGTAAAAAGGGACAAAAGCTTAAAACGGTAATTAGTTGAATAACTTTGCAAACCTTTCTCTAACATGTGTCCCATAAACTGATGATTCACACATTATAATTTATACTAGTATTGTTAAGATAAAAGTCTTCCAAGTTAATTTCTATAATTTTAACTGAAGCAAAAAAATTGTAGTTTGTTCTTTTATAACATGCTAGTGTGACAGCACAACACAAAATATTCTACACTTTGTCTAGTATCAAATTTTCGGTTATTCAACCCTTAAGTACACTATTACAAATACAGTCGTATATAAAAAGATAAGAACTATTCAAGCCCAAAACGTAGAGATAGATCAACAAAGTATTCATGTTATTAGCCCACCTTTCCAGACTTGGTATTCGGTTAGCACAAATCCATTGGCACGCTAAGCATTCAGTCTAAAATATCTGCTCGATCCCTAACTAGAATAATTTCATCGAACAGTATTTACGTGGCCCAACCAAGTTGCAATTGAAGCGTGTCTATGTTTCGCGAATGTATGATTTAGAAACGATGCTACCATCTAAGTCAAGCATATACACTATGATAAGAATCGTCTGAAAACGCTCGGCTTAATTTCGAAGAAAAAAGGACGATAAGTTCAGTGGTATATTATAACAGTAACTAAACGTTAAGCAATAATTCGACGAGCACTTTGGCTCAATAAACAAAACATCACATGATTTAGCAGACGTCGTAAAAATAACATAAACAAAAATAAAACTTTTTGCACAAAAGCGTGCAATGGCGGATTTAACACCATTGGGTATTCTCTATCAGTCAACCATCAATTAACTGCTTACCTTTTATAAGCAGAACCGGAAATATTAAAGTTTCCCGTTTGCCAGACTTCTCCTTGCAAAGAAGACAGGCAAAATAGATAGTTGGCGGACTTTAACTTGCAAACTAGTAATTCACTGAGGTAGTTAACTAGACCGCAACGCCGGTTTACAAACGTCTCGTTTGGAGATTACCTTGGAGATTTTCTACTCAAAAGCAACAATTATAAGAAACCAAAAGAAATAAAACTGATCTACCATAATCTAGGCTGAATGAATCTAATCTGATGTTTTTCTATCAGATAGAGAAGGTGCTCAGTAGTAACAGTTACTAGCAATGTTTAAATGACCTTATTATGAGAGGGTGACAAGCCCATAGGCAAACTTTACATCTTTCCCGCCGGCCGTGGACATTCGCCTATGGGATTAGATGTTTTCCCAATCGTTTAAATAGTGCGCCCTGGTCCCCTTACCGGCTAGTCTGAATGCGAAAGTAAGAATAATTTCAATTGAAACATCCGTATTCCGGAAGCCATGCTATTTTCTGGGACGCCCATTCGTGCAACAGCGGAGGCCACGACGTAGACGTACCACGTTACGAAAACTAAACGAATAAAGACGTGGAGAAACTTTATCCCTACGCCCGTTTGTTTTCCGTTACCCGAAAAAAATCATGCACCGTACGAATGCAACTCGTCGAAAAGGCACTCGCGTGATCAGTGAACAGTTCGAGCGTAGGCAGAGAGTAATTTGCGGCTGAGTGCACGCCAGCAGGCAAAGGCTGCAAATGGCGCAATTAGTTGCTTCCGCGTGCGCTTTAAAGATTTACGAACGCGCGAGCCATTGCCCTAAAAATCCCCTTAGATCGTTTACTTTATAGTGTTTTAATCAACGCTGCAGAATGACATTACCTTTGTTCACACAAATTTAGTTCGAGCCTTTTTTGTAGAGTGTAATTTCTGTAGAATGCCATACTTTTTATAGGGGTTTCGCATTCATATTCTCTCGTAATTTTCTTGATGCTTTTTGAATAATTGTGTTTAAGACGTTACTGGCATAAACTAATACGCATCAAGAAAATTCTAACAATAATAATAAAAAGTTAATAACTTAATTATTTATAGTTAAGGTATAATATATGAGAATAAAAAAAAAAAGGAATCGATCAGCTTGTTTCACACAAAAACTAAATTTGCATTATATTCGTTAATTTTTAAGTTTGCTTTAGTTTTACGGTTTATTAATAATTACAAAAAAACGATATATTATATTTGTAAAATTGGGAAAAGAAATAACTGAATTCTCTGAGTCGGTCTCAATTCTAAACAATCAAACCATTTTTGAATTCATTTAAAATAAGTCACTATTACGACGGTTAGAAACGAAAGAAAGTGCAATCAACTTTTGACGTAGAAGCTTTCACAACTGCAACTCATCTCAATAAAGCTCGGAGACGTTCTTTGATGACACCGTGAATTATTAAGTGCGGAACTATTGAGACAGTACACGTCTAAAAAGGCTTTAAATTATTCCATAATAAGCTAATTCATCGACGTCTCTTCGAAAGCTGTACGACTGTTTTGTTTGTTATCTAAATGAAAGCTACGAGGGGCGTTCAATATATTCTAGGTATCGAGGTGATATTATAATAGTAAGGGTAATAATCTCATTAGTTAAAGACTCTTTTTGAGGGTATAAATATAACATTTAATTTCCTTGTCACCATTAGTATTCAAGATATCGTTACGAAAAGGCAAATACGTTCACTGATATGACAATGCTAAAAATATCGAGCATCGCACTGTGATAAAATTGCTCACAAAACAATAAATTAATCGAAAAGTTATTCACGAAGAAATGGTTTACCAAGATTCTGATCCATCATTTTCTATTCAAAAGTGGTCCTGTGAATTCAAAGAGAGAGCATTGAAAACGACCCCCATGCCGGTGGGCCGGTTAGTGCCCCTACTGAAAAAAGTCAAAAACTATGGACTATGGACCCACCAGATTGTGAAGGATAGTGTGAATGGTACTTTGTGTGTTTGTGTGTGTGTCTGTGTGTGAATGTACCATTCACACTATCCTCCATGAGTATCTGTATATTTCGAAGGTCATGATGGGTGCAGTTGATAAAATGGTGAGTTCATAACTATAGTCTTGAGAGTTAGCAAGAGCAAACAAAAAATAATTAAGTCGCTCCATTCGCCGCAAAACCCATGGCCACAGTAAATTGGGATTGTAATATTCTATTCCCATCTGATTGATTACGCAAAAAAGTCAAAGTATAACTGCAGCATATTACGCAAGCACCTTACGTAATTTAAAGGAGACAATAAAAAAAAAACACTTGGAAAATTGACGGCAGGTGTCTTGCTTTTCACGTTAACGCGCCTGCCCAAAAAGGGCGCGTGGCCAAGGCTTTTAAGAAATCTACTATCCACCCCACAGTCCTGACCTAGCCCCTAGTGATTATTTTCTGTTCCCCAACCTCGAGAAAGTTCTTCGAGGCAAGCATTTTTCGGACGATGAAGAGTTGAAGTCGGAAATTGATGAACATTTTTCAGACAAGGAATAAGATATTTTTAAGATGATATTGAAAAGTTACTTTCCTGCTCAAATAAGAATATTGAGGTGATGGGGACATTGAAACTTAAATTTTATACTGAATATTATGATTATTCGTTCATGCCCTTGCCGAAAATACTTTGAATCGGGGGCATTATTATTGTTTGATTAAAAAAATATACCAATCGAATTGATAACCTCCTGCTTTTGAAGTCGGTTAAAGAATAATATGTTTTTCTACCTTGACACAATTGACAGATACATATCATATATATTTTACTTTACAGCTAGATGTTTTTCGCAGACAAGTCCAGATAAAAATAATACATGACCGAAACTAATTAAGGGTTAGCTCTCTATTTTTTCAAATCGGTGTCCGTGTTAATAAATCGCTAGCTAATGATTGAAATTGGCCATGCGATAGATCGGTCGATCATGATCGATATTTTTCCCGCCTCTGGTCTATAGAAACAATGAAAATACTATTAGACTAATAGAAACAACACTATATCTTATCCTTTAAACGAGCCATTCCTGTATATATATATATATATATATATATATATTTTTTTTATATATATATATATATATATATATATATATATATATATATATATATAAACAAATCATTTTCTTTATTTTTTTTTATTTCCAAAATACATGATTTACCAAAAAAAAACCAAGCATAGCTCAGTCTTCCAGGTACTAGACGATAATGGGTGCAATGATTTTCTTTTATCTAATGCTAGGACGAGAAAATATCAACCACTGTTCGGTTTTCCACAGAAATGTTAATAAATAGATGAATTAGGTATACGAGATTGATTATTTCATAAATGTACTTGAATTATATTATCAAGTAAACGGTGGAGTATTCTGTTTCTAGAAAGAAAAGTCTTCACTTTAAACATATATACATGAAATGTTTTAAGTAGTACTTTAGTTCCTTGAGTCGCATTGCGCATTTTCGCATCGCGCACCCAATAATATTTGAAAACGTTCACGAATCTTACAGCGGAAAAATCATATCAACCACTGCAATAACGTCATGCCAAACAATTGACTTTATAAAGAACGTACAAAGAGTTATATAGTACTCCAGATACTCTTCGAACAAAAACCGACCGATTAACACCACAAGGGCAACAGAGTCGTCATTATCCGACCGACTAATCTGAAACTTACAAGGGCGATAGTCGTGGTTCTGCAGCCAGCGCAGTACGGCGCTCCCCGATGACGTCGAGACGCGGTGAAGCAGGATTTAAAATCGCGTGAGTGCCCTCAAAATTGCCCTGCATGGTTTCTCTTTTCCTTGAGTTTTAATCGCTACCGCAGAATGACGTTATGTTGTGCCCTTGTTGCGTCCCATGTGAGTCGTTTTCCATGCGAAAAGCTACCGACTAATCCAGCACTTACCAGGGCGACAGAGTTGTTGTTCTGTTGCAGCCAGCGTAGTATGGCGCTCGCCGTGGTGAAGTCGGGCCGCGGTGGCGGCGGGATCGCGTGCTGCAGCGACGACGCGAGCTGTTGGGCGAGCTCTAGGGCGCGCGCTCTCGCCGCCCGCCCCGGACCGCTCGGCGTCGTCGCCCCCGCCGGAGCGCCGCCCGCTTCTGCACCAATAACGAATATTTGAAAATGGAACGCTTATTATGGATTCCATAATTTTTTTGAGCGTTCTCCGTACAATTCAAACGTCTACAGAACTAATTTAAATACCGTTTCGTTCTTGAAGTTTTTACTTTTTTTGTTTTCACGCATCTATAAATCAAGAGTTACTATTGTTTATCAGTAGTTACAAATCGAATTGCATACTATTTCCTATACGCAGTCCCGCGAAGTAGAAATTAAAATGAAAAGACATTTATTTAACACTACTTTATATTTTGCCAGTATTTATCATTGCCAACAAGCAATGTCAACAATCACTTGTATTATACTGAGGTAGAGGATATAGATACATCTGCGAGGCTCAAATAAGGCACATAGCTACTTTATAATCTAACTAATATTTTATGTTTTATGTACAAAGAGTTTTAAAAAACCTTGTCCATATTGTATGTACTCCACATACAATAAATATTAGTTATAAAGTAAAATAGTTGATACATTCTCGTAACATCTGTATCACGTGTCATTCAATAAGAATCACAAAATCGAAATATCGGTAACAAATTTCACGTGCACGTAAGGTAGTTGAATAAGCTTATACTTTTGTAGTAAAGATGAATGAAGTTTAATTAGTAATATTTTCAACACTATATAGAACGCAAATATAAATAAATTATAAAATAATGTAATAATTATATTTATAATATAATTCATTAATAAATAATATAAATATTATTAAAATTATGATTTTAATCTTAAATTTTGAAAAGACGTCATTAAATGTATCAAATCTTATTATCGTAGAAACGCTGTTTGTACATATCTTTTACAGATTTAGAAACCCACAAACTTTTCAGTTTTTCATTACCCTACACAATGAAAGTGTCTAGCAAACTTCTTTGTGTTGCTACCAGACATATTTCATATTGTTCCCCTAACAAAACCAAAGTACTGGACTATTCCTTTCATGGTAGTAATAATTTTTCATTAGAACCAACCTTTTTCTAAGAATTTGTGCAAATACTATGTTTTTGGAAGTTTCTAGTCGTCATAACGTATTTTTTTTTTATTTTCCTTACCATTTTTACTTACTCTTTAGTCAGCTATGGTAAAAATATTACAGAAAAATAAAATATAGGCTGTTTAACTACACAAATAATTTTAAATTATGAATTATTAAGTTCAAAAGCATAATTATGCAAAGCGTTAAAATACAAACTAAGAGTTAAACTTTAACTTTAACTATGTAAATAAATCCTTGCGTACTATATCGAAAGCAATAGTTTACCAGCATGTATATATCCCACTGCTGGGCAAAAGCCTCCTCTGTACAAAGATATAGGGCATAGTCCACCACGCGATCCCACTACAGATTGAAGGACTTCAATCAAATGTCGATTCGATTTCGATTTTTTTTAATATTTAGAAAATCATTCATCAGTGTTTTCCTACACCGCTGATCAAATGATAAGTTAACTTAAAATAAACAATTTCATTAGCACCAGCACAGGGATTTGAACTCGGGTCAAAGTAAAAAAAGTAAAGTAACAGCCTATACATGTCCCACAGCTGGGCAAAGGCCTCCTCTATACAGAGGGCATCAAGTCGGGTTGCTAGAGTGTATTGAATTAAAAGCGAACGCCCGGATATTGAGCAACTATCGAACAACTATCGCAAGCTCATCAACACATAATGACGTAATTCATTATTAAAAACAAAATGGAAAATCTTTTACGCATCAAGTTTAAAAATGGCACAGTGCCAGTGTGCCAGAATTTTAGCCTATTTGAGTGCCCTGCTAAATATGGATCTCTTGCACACACCGCCACGAAGCACGATCCTGAGCCACCTGCATCCATCTCGCATATTTGTGCAGGTCGTCACTTCATTTAGTAGGTCGTTCTACACTCCGAAGGCCACTCGAGAACCTTTCCTCCCCACCGGTTATGAGTTCTACGAATTATATGGACTACCCATTGCTTAAAAATGTTCTACGCTATGTAGTTTACCTTTGTTCTACTGCGGATATCTTCATTTCAACCTTTATCAAGCAGAGAAACACGGTTAATACCTATTAAAGAAAAAATGAGAAAAATATACAAACATTTTTAGATTGCTACCAAAAGAGATGTTTCAAAAGTTATACAGTTCAAAACATTATTATGAAAAAGGAAAAAATATGTAATGATGATTTCCCATTGCAGTTATTGTTGTGTAGTGCGTGTTTAATAAATTCTTAATGAATCTGAAGATCATCAATGCCATGAAGAGCATTCCAGTCAAGATTGTTTAATAAAGTGTAGATGTAGAATTGTGATGACATCTTGTGCAAATCCAACCTAGGTAGGATAAAGGCAGGAGCAAAAAGGTTAGCACCGATTAGCTAAAAACACAGTCGACGGCCATCGGGGTCCCGGTTCGAACCGCAACCTCGATGGCCCTTAGATGACATACCAGAGTTAAACGCACGTATGAGCGCGGCCCTACCCAGCAGAGGGCCCAAACCCGTGGGTTCTGGCTAGCCTACAGGTTCTGCGGCAGATGAAGCTTTAATAGTCTCGGGACTGAAAGCAAAAACATCAGTTAATACAAGATACAAGAGAATGTTTGCGGTTTCTTTAATACCACGCCTTGAACCGGTTGTAATACGGATGAATTAATTTTGAGGCATTTAGTGAGTATAGTTTTATCTTTAATATTTAGAAACCTATACACTACATTACTTAATTATGTACTATACAATCCTTCAGATTTTTGATATTCACTATCTATGATTTTACGTGTGTTGGCAAAATTATTCGTAGTGTTGGTAAAATTATTTTTCTATTGTTTTGTGATTCAGCTCTGTTCAATTTGTATGAAGCATAAAAAACAGGACTACGAAAAACATTTTCAGTAATAGTGAAATAGTGAAACGCTAAAAAGTTGCGCCCTAATTAACAGCCGCGAGGAACAATCTTCCAGTTGAAGCGGCGACGTGTTCTAAATTTATGAAGTTAGCAAAGCGTGTCACTCGGGGCTTGTGAAAACAGAGTCTGCAGTTAGTTGGATCCTATAAAGAGATTTTAAAACCAGGCGTTAAGTGTCAGTTAATAAGGGTGAATATTTGCTTATGCAAGCAGATGGCAATCTTGTATCTTGTATTAACTAACTGACTTGCTTTCAATCCCGAGACTATTAAAGCTTCATCTGACGCGGAACCGATGGGCTAGCCAGAACCCACGGGTTTGGCTGAAAATGGAGCAGGTGGTCACCTGATGTTAAGCGGTAACCGCCGCTCATAGCCATCTACTGCAACCGTAAATAGGTTTTACAAACCTTTAAAAGAGTGGGCTCCGGTAAAAAACATACGGAACTTCAAAAAGGTCTTTGGTGAGCTTACCCTTGCAACTATCCGTGCCACAGAAAAAGCCTGGCGCTACTAAACTATGGTCATCATCAAATTTTTCTTGCATGGAACGAAGCAACGGGTGGCCAACTATTGAGTTTACATATAAAATATATTTTTCATCTTAAAATCTTGCCACGATCGACTTGTTGTTATGGTTATAATTTTATACATTAAAAAAGTTTATACAACGATGCTTTTTCGCGAATTCAGTGTAAATTAGAATAACAAATAACCATAAACTGATGTAAGATGAATGCTTTATATTGTCACACCAGTTCCTATGTTATTAAATCACTAGCTAATATCTGGCTATGCGATCAACCAGTTGATCACAGTCGACTTGAGCCCCCGGTCTATAGAAGCAACGCACACAACGAGTGCAATAAATTTCTTTCGCCGATACATAGACACGCGTTATGACGTCTAGTATTCATCACAGTAGCTTTCACCAATTAAGTTCTTAAGCAGTTTTCTTTTTCTTTTTCTGGCCGCAGACCATGGTTGTTTGACACTGTTTGATAATACATAAATGGGATCGTAAATATTTGTAAGTAACAGTAAACAGTTTTAGAAACACTTTACACAGATTATTCAACTATCGACGGCATGACGTTGCCTATTGGAACTACCACAATTTTTTTTTTATCCGTTACCGACCATGGAACAGTAGTGGCATCACACTAAAGAATACACTTCCAACTACCACTAATTTGATGCTTGCATTTTCGTCATATCTCAATGGCCAAATTAACAATAACTTTCACAATGAAGACAAGTCACTAAGGCGCCAATACGAGCCAAATCCATTGGATTAACAATGCCTTGCCTAGCTTAGGCCTAGCTTACGCAACGTAGATCGAGGTTTGCTTTTAAGACTACATAAGATAAAAACTGAATAATTTACAATATTTTAAGTACACAACGCCACACAATATATAATAAAATAAATAACATTTTGTACAATCTAAAATTATCATGTAAATAATTTAAATATGAAAGTAGGTTTATTGATAATTGGTATTTCGTTGATTAAAAAATAGTTAAATGAAAAAACGCTTTTTTTGTAAAATTAACAAAAAATTATGATTTTCCATTAAATCGACCAAATGTATTCAATGCTACGAATGAATACATATACACCCATAAAGTCGGTTCGTAGAGAAGAAAAATTTTAATTCCTTTTATCGCGCTTGCACTATAACTGACATTTATTTACGTATCCATTTGATAAAAAATATAAACATGGAGAAAAATTTAATACATATTGATTTCTTGATTTTGGACGAATATTATAAGCTGGAAAGGGTTTGAAACGTTAAAATAAGAATAAAAAAAATAAAAATGCGATGTAATCCGTAAACTAGATTCATTTAAAAATACAATACGGCAAAATATTTTAATACGCTTATGTTATTTCCTTGGTGTTTAAAGCATGTGGTGTTGTGACATCGTTTTGAAGATACTGTTCTTCGCTAATGATGAAATGTAAAATTTTTTTGTTAACCATTATAGTTCACTTAAGTACTTTAATAACTAACAATATAATAAGTATTTAAACATGAATTATGCAGAAGGCGCAATATTTTGACAATTTATTTAGTTCAGTGATAT